GTCTACCTTTTGAGCTAATTAAGAGAGGGGCTGCTTCCTCTATGGAGTGGTGGTCAGATTTCCCTACATGAGATTAGCCAGCGGGATACTTTTGCAACACAGTGGGCAATTTTTGGGGAAGTCATGTTTTGTCATCAACTTGATTAGGGTGTAGATAAAAGGCAGGATATTAACTAGATAATAACAGAGATAGGAGAGAAAAACGTGGATAAGAAGCATAAAAGAGGAAATGAAGGATCCAATGACATGTTATCATAAATGCTTATGTTGAGTGAAAATTTCTTCTCTGCTTCCTATATTTGTAATTAAACCAAAAGAAAACCATAAATATGACAAACATTTGTATGGGTAAATAATAGGTTATATGTTATTCATTTAAAAGTGTGTTTTATTTTCTGAAAAAAAAAGTAACCTGTTAGACTTTGTTTCAATTTTGTGCTAATATTTCATTTAAAAATGTAACTAAAAGGTGGAAGTATAAACCTTCACCACCACACAGACACACACACACACACACAGCATAGTGCACAAACACTCACTAGTCATCTTGTATCGTACTGAATGCATGAATACATTTATTTATCTTCATTACTGGGTGTGTAAATGCACTTTAAATTGGGCAAAAATGAGTGTCTGTTGTTTGACACTCAATATCTCTGCTTGATGTTCTCAATTGCAACTCAGCGCCAGTGCACCCTGGTGTCATTGTCCTCCAAAAGAAAAACCATTTGCCCAGTCAGCCTCTAAGCCCATGTGCCACCGTTGTCTTAGTTTCTATGGAGACACTTTCCTCCAGACCAAGCATGTGGAGGGCACCCCTCCAGTGGAAGGAGGTGGAATAGCATTGTGGTAAGGCAGTCATACAGCAACCTCATTTACAAACATGAACCATGGACTGTAACATACAGTGTTTGTTCTCTAAACATTTCACTGTAGTTGATTAAACCCAACTTGAAGTGGAAGACATACTTGCATGTACAATTTCGTTAGTTGTACAAATAATATAAAGGTTTAGTTGAATCTAAAAATTATATGAAGGCAAAGTTAATCGGAGAAAAAGGCAGGAGAAGTCACAGACAACTGTAGTTTTTGAAATGTAAAAAACACTACATATATATGTACTATTGACATGGACCATGCAGTAAAAGTCTGGGACTGACGTGATCATTTGCCAGGAAACTCCAGATGGGGGCACTGTCTGTCAGTCTTTCTCTGGTATTTCCTTACCTATTCAGGAGACTCTCTGCTGTCAGATGGAACTGAGTGTTTCTGACCTTGAAGACGATGACAGACAGTCACTGTGGGGGCAACTGTACTCAGCATTTAAATACACAAACCACACAGCCTCAAGACTCCAGCCATAGTGGTCTAGAGACAAGGACATGAACAATGTGGGAAAGAAGCAAAGTAATGTTTTTGTCATAATTGTTCTAACTTAATTAAAACTGCTTTCATTTCCTTACTACTTTCTTTAATACTGGCATGGTTAAACAAAACTAAACAGAGCCTTGCTGTAGAAAACAGGATCATTTTCTGGCCTTTTTAAATACTTCTTTGATCAAATGACTCCTAATTAATACTACTACTACTACTACTACTACTACTACTAATGATAATAATAATAATAATAATAATAATAATAATAATAATAATAATAATAATAATAATAATAATAATAGAAGCAAAAAAGCAATTGTGGCGGTAACTGACTGCTACACAGTCTTATTGATTGCTGTATATAATGAACCACAAAACAGCATAGCTCACCCTGGTAAAAAAAAAAATGACAGTAATAAAATAAGCATTTGAAATAACTGAAATAGTAGTTTCCAAATCTTTTACTTGGTCATATAAATGCATTTTCATAAAGACCAAAATACATATTTATCACACAATAATTACTTGTAATGGTGCATACATCATCTTGGCATATGAATAGTTTACAACCATATTAGCTACTCTGGACCACAGAGTAGCTAATGAACCTTGTGATGATATCAGTATACATTTCTTTGAAAAACACTGAAGGAAGTGTATTTTTTTCCCTAAAGTAAAAAATACACTTATCTTATGTTCACACAGACTGGATATGGGTACCTATAATGGACATGCAACAGTGGTAAATTGAGCAGTATTTTTTTCTTAATAAATAATAAACGGGTTGTCATCACGAGGCAGGCTGCATAAATAAGCCTGTAGCTCATAGACAGAAAAGAGAAAGCCCCCATTGTTTTATTTTGACTTTTGCTCTAATACACATTTAGGATGATATATTTAGTATATTTGTCAGGCAACATTAATATACTGGTAGAAAGCAAATTAAAAAGAAATCCTAAATATACCATACATAAAGTATAAGCATATATATAGAACCTTATTTTAATGGTGACTACAATACTAATGTTAATATTACAAAAAAAACCCAACAAACAAACAGCATTGAGGTAGTTTGATTAAAAAAAATGCCAACCTGGAAGCAGTGTGAGCGGACTACCTATTAAAAACAAAAAAGGTTTTCTAATAATGTAAAAAGAGCAGTTAACAAGATGAACATATTGTGGAGTTCAGCGCAGTTGCTCAGCTCCTCACCAACCAATTACAACACTGTCTGTAGTAGAAAAACCTAATTTGCTTTCGAAGAAACACAGCAAAGGCAGCCTACCTCTACTGCCAAGATAAACTACTGAAACCTCTTGTTGTTGACTTAAGCCAGACAAATTTACTGTCCTAATTGGTCTCAGTGGGCAACACATCAAAAGTGTAAATAATTTCATCAGCAGCTGGCCTGCTCTGTCTTTTGGTATCCTGGCTTTTATTTCATAGTGAAAACTAACTTGTGCCTGCTGGAATGACATTCTGTAATAATTCCCAGAGCACACAATTTTCGCATCAGATAAAACTACTTAATGAGAGGATGACGTTCAATCACAGAGTAACTAGTCTCAGTCTGAGTGCGTGACCAGCTGTGTCTGTTGGGGGTAACAAGTTGCAGATGATGTTTCAGTTGTTGCTGCTGCATGTTCTTTTGGTTTTGTGGTTTAAGGGAATCAGGTTAAACTTAAGGAAAAAGAAAAAGCAAAAACATAGGTCAAAGCAAAGGGGATCATCCCTTCCACCAGGTAAGACTTATGAATGTTGAATTATGCAACAAACAGGTGTATTGTATAATCATGTTTTGCTAAGCACACACACACTGCTTTCATTTGATAAGAGGTCCACATTCAGCACACATACACAGTGTCACTGATGGAGGCACATATCCAAAACTCTTAATTAGCAAGAAGCTGGTAGTTTGTGTTCATCATTTCAGAGCAGCTGGGAAGGAAAAGGGAAAAGCAGGGAAATTGCAGCTTGACCACAATCACAGAGGACACAGCGGTGCTATTAGTTTTCCAGTGCAATCACATAATCCGATGGCCCAGACATTTGCTTTAATCAGACACCTGGGAAATACATCCATCCCATTTCATTTCATCAGCTCAAATCAATCTCCCATCAGTATTAAATGAATACACTGAGAGCAGAAATCTGGCTGGGCAAGATATTATTACCAAAGGGAAGTCCTTCATTACAGCCTTTTATGATTGCTTGTCTTTCCTCTATAGAAAGAATCCTTTGTATATATATTGTAGATCCTGTTTGAGAGTCAACTATATCTTTGAAAGCACACATTATGGAATAAGCTGAGCCCACAATGAATCACAGTGGTATTTCTTTTTCATTCAAGCAAGCAATTTAGCAGTTTATGTCACATCAAATGTTGCATGTGGCGCTATGGATTTTTACAGTGTAATTAGCAGCTATAGCGTGAACTCGGACTGCTGTATAGCCACATGTAACAGGTAAAGCATGTGCTTTTTATTTATGTTTTTCCTTCAGCGCTTCTCTGTATGGTAGTGTATGTGCGGATGCTGCTGGTGTCAGTGATGCTGAGCGCGCTACACGAGGCGAGTCTTTGTCTGCTCCGGGAAGGCTGGGCTCCAGCTGGCTCCTGCTATGTGTTTGCATGCAGAAGTCAGTGGTTCCCCCAGTACCCGGAGCAGGAGGCGAGCTGTTTGATTGATTGGGATGCACACCACCAACGCCCCCTCCTCCTCCTCACCTCCTCCTCTTGGCTGCACTTGCTTTGGGTGCACATGTGTCTCTCCAGCTCTCCATTTTTTTCTTTACACTGACCAGCTTTATCACACACGGGCGTTCATTCACATATATACACACACACACACACACACACACACAAATACACACACACACACAAACACACACACACACACACACACACAATAAATGGAGAAAAATAATTAAAAACGAAGAAATACTGCGTGCATGAATGCCCGAGTGTAGATGTTGCATGATTAAGGTTAACGTTTGATGTATATTTTGATGTATGAGCGCACATAAACATCCCAAGCGGCTCCGACATCGGGTTCATTCAGGGCAACGCATTAGCAGTCATTACAGATAACCACTTAGCCAGACCATTCTCTACACTTGGTGTTTCTCTTGCAGAGACTGTGGCATAACTCTAACGAATTCATCATTTTAGACAGAGAGAGAGAGAGAGAGAGAGAGAGAGAGAGAGAGAGAGAGAGAGAGAGAGAGAGAGACGCCTGGAATAAACATGTATTTCGAAAGATTTGATGTTTCAGGTGCTTTTCACAACGCATTCGCTCCGGACCAATAAAGTCTTAGTGGAAAGCATGGGGCTGAAAAAAGGACGAAGTAAGGGTGTGTTAAAATCACCGACAGCTTTTCAGGACTCCAGCGACGACCAGCCAGCCAGTGTCTGGTGAACGTGCGTGTGCGTGAAAGTGCGCGCACGTGTGTGTGTGTGTGCTGTGTTAGGACCCGCAGCCAACACACACTTAACATTCGTTCGCAACATGGCGTTGAAGCGCCGAGAGACACGACGGCTCTCCCCCGACTAATGCAACCTTATTGTTAGGAAAACCAGGGAGACTGTTAACCAAAGAACCCTAAACATTCTCAGAGACTCCTTTACGCACCGGCGGAGACAATAGCGGATTCCAGCATATGAATGTCGCTATAACGGTATAGCTGTTGTATAGACTCAAGCTGCTACCCCACTGGTGGAAATCAAAGGCTGTACATGGCGGTGGAGAGTACAATTTGGCTGTTCTGTCTTCTTTCGCTGTTTTGTGGTCCATCCAAGCAAGGTAAAGCGCTCACTTAAATCTTCTTCTTCTTTTTTTCTTTTTTTCTTGTATGGTGCATGTGTGAGCCAGCGGACCTCTCGTATTACTCTGAAGTGCAGTTACTCAGAACATAAGTAGACTGCGATAACAGATATGAGCTACTGGGTGAATCTGCACCTTGCACAGTTTGTGCAATATCCCCTCCGTATTCAGTGTTCACCTCATTTGGCCTCTCTAATCCCCACGATGTAGGGGTGTTTTGTTAGGGTACTTCATTGGTATCTCTCTCAGGACGCGCTGGAAAGCTTTGGCGATGGGAAGTTGCAGCACATTGCCCAAGGAGTAGCCACAGTGTTGTTGAATGTTGCCACAGGGCGGCCAGGGGCTTTGAAGCGACCGTGGGAAGTTTGGGATCCAAACCAGGGAATCGGACTCACAATAACAACATGTGTGATGGGCTTGTGCGTTCAGAAATAGAACTATGTCCTGCAGCACACCACTATTTCATGTTCTGCTGCTGGGGGGGTAACTTTTTCTGTTACGGTGCACTGATGTGCGCAAGGGACGTTATGGTTTTCCCCTCTGCATGGCTCAGAAAAGTTGAGGGAGAGGTTTTTGAAGACAGTGTAACATCATCAAAAGTATTCTACATATTTATAGATTGCCGTATGATCTATAGAAATCTAAAGATGGATGCATCATAATGAATATGATAGCTGTACAGCAAAAAGTTTATTTCCTAATAACTGCTGTGGCTGGTTGAAGAGGAAAATGCTAACAGTGGTGGCGATGAGCCGGTGAGAGACTGTCTGGTCACCGGATTTACATGACAAAAGACCAGCGCAGAACACGAGTGGCTCTTATAAAGTAAAATGCTTACCAGTGGTCAGGAAACAAAAAAGATAGAACATTTGATTTCCTTAAAACCTTTTATTCCAAAGCCCAACTTTCTGATTTTTGTCTAATGACTGTCTAACATGTCAGAACATTTCTGTATGAAATCACTGAGGCAACATTCAGCTCAAGAAGAGCATCATATCAGAATTTCATAATCTGTTTCCATCTTGTTCATCAGAGAGTTTGGATTATAAGATAAAGAAATGGACTGAAACTGAAATTCTTGCAGAGGATTGGAAATCAGTGGGTACTGTAACTCCAAGTCAGACATGAGAAAGTATGTAACTCCTGCCATGTATGTATGTGCGTGGCAGTGTGGACAGATTAAACATTTTGGGAGCAGGTTAGAGTGGCATGTGAAAGTTTTTTTTTACAATTAGTCAAATCTATAAAAATGCCAAAGACAACACAGATTGATAGGCAGAAAATTGTATTTTTGCAACAGCATAGTGATTCTGAAAGTGTTATTTGCCACAAAATAGGCATGTCTCAGCATATTGTGGATGCTGTGAAAGAGAAAAAAAGGAGAAGAGGCTGAAGCATCCCAAATTACAGAAGAACTCATATGAAAATTGTTGATAACAGGTGTTAGGGAGGAAAAACTTTGGTTCGAGTCATCATCATGAATATGTACAGAAGAGGTCAGGAGAGAGGTGTAGCAGTAAGTGTCTACAATCATCACTGTGCAAAACACAGTGGAGGCTCTGTTATGCTTTGAGGCTGCATTCAGTCTCCATGTTGGGGTATTTTGATCCACCATAAAGTTCCATCTGGAAAGTGGCACTAATACACAAGCTATTAATATCACCGTAAACTTACATGAAAACTATGCCTCTTTCTTTACTTTAGTCTCAGCTTGTGTAGTTTATCCTTTGGTGGGAGTTGCAGAAAGGTTTCCTGCTGCTGCTGTGGTATGTTATGGCCTGCAGTGATTGCTACCAACAGTGATGAGAAATAAGGCAGTTTGGTGCTTGGTGGATTGGTGTGGCAGTGAAAAGTCAAGTGTAATGGAATGCATGTATATGAGAACCATGCTTGTATCCAGGCAGACATCACTTACCTCTGAGATACTGTAGTTTCAACACATAAGCTCCATTACTCATTCTTCAATTATGTACACGATGGCCTTAAGAAGCAGGCCACTTAGAGGTGTGCCTCCTTGACTTCCATCTGATATAGCAGTAAGAGGTCAGAGGGTACAAATGCTATAGAGTTAGATTACCAAGCCTCGAAGATTCCAGAATATACAGAATAAGGAATAACTTCTGTTGAGATCTTCTTGACAAGAGAGTGAGTGCCACACTTGTGGGCAGTCACAGTGAGATGATGAAATCTTTTGCAAGTAAATACTGATTGGTGTGGAGGTTATGCATGATAAGAGTTGGGAAAAGGTTGATTTATTTGTACAGTGAGATCAGCAAAGTTTTGAGTTTGGACATTTTGGGATTAGGCAGTTCAAACATTTCAATAAAATCATACATTTGTAAGTTTTTTGCATCAATTGCATCAACAAAAACCTGACATTTAAAGATCCATTGTGATATTTAACATTTGTCATCAAATCCTACAATTGTAATTATTAGCACTGCTGATAGCAACATGCTTTAAAACAGCGGTCCCCAACCCCCCGGTACTGGTCCGTGACTCGTTTGGTACCGGGCCGCAAGAGTTGAGGTTCAGGTGCAAAATGTATGGTTTTCAGGGTTTTTATCGGTTTTCAGCGTTATTTTGTTATCGTTTTTATTGTTTACTTGGTTTTCCTGGGTCTTTTAACGTGTGTTATGAATTAATTTTCTTTTTTTCGGTACCGGTACTAGTTTTATTTTGTTGTATTTATCCGCGACACCTTAAAGGCCGGTCCATGAAAATATTGTCGGGCATAAACCGGTCCGTAGCGCAAAAAAGGTTGGGGACCGCTGCTTTAAAAGGTTTCTTATTATGTGTTATTACCAAATAATTATACTTTTTGTCATCAAGATAAGTAAACAACTCAGTCATTTTCCCCTCTGTGTGAATTTTGCTATGTTTAAGAAGTACATTACTGTATACATTACTGTTGTGGATGATGGTGTTTATGGGACCTGAGGTTGTTCCTGAATAGAGGTTAGTGTTAATTCTGGGCCATTGATAGAATGACAGAAGCTAAAGGGGTATGCTTGAGGGCAAGGGCCATGTCTGCATGTACAAATTAATTGTTTTGTACTTTCTAAAGATCAAAGGCAAATCTGTCAGCTTCACTTAACACATCAGAAGCAAATGAATGAAGCCAGATTGCCCATGTGTCTGTGTGTTCACAGTCATAGAATACTGCACAGTTATTAATAGACACAATTAAACAACATCCACAGTCCTGAAAGACTTTATGAGCAAATGAATCTGACTATTGTAATGCATTTACCCTTTTTTATAAGCACTTGATGAATATAAACACAGTGAAAAGGGCATAATGAAGCCTAGGCACTGACTAAGAATGACACTTGAGTTAATTTACCATTTTACAGGTCCTATTAAATGGAAATCTTTGCACTAGGAAGTTTTGTAATGCTTCTCCACTTTGTCATATGTAGTTAGACATCCTACATCAGTCCCCTGCACTTGTTACAGAGTAGCATAAGCCTTGATTAGGCAGGAAAGTTTTTTTTTTTTTTTTACATGTTCTCTTCTTATATCAATCACCATTATCATTTAAACTGCTTGTCCTGATTTTTATGGGTGAAAGCCAGTGTGCCTGCAGGACAGAAGTCAGCACATACCAAGCAAATGTGTAAACACAGAGGTAGACACAGTACATTCACAGTACAAACTGTATCACTGATTTGGATACATTGACCAGAAATGTTCTAAAATTTTGCTGAAGTATGCTAGAGAATTGTTTCCTAACTGCTGGACCCAAAGTAGATTGTGAGTGGCTCATGAGTTTTGGTTCAAATGAGTTCCAAGATTTAAAAAAGTTGTAGGGCTTTTATTTTGAAGCACTGTTTTGTGTATATCTAGAAGACTTAAGGCTAATCAAAACAAGGTGTATTTACATCATGTACTGTATCATACCTATTAAACTACCCAGTCAGATTAATTTAATGATTTAATTCATTTGACACAATTTATGGAGCAACTTTATCATTTGAAGTTGCATCATCTGGTGAATGTAAGCCCAACTTTTAGTCTCTTTTAGTTTAGTTTTTAGTTTCCACTCACTCAAGAAGAAAATGTTCCTCTTTGTTCACCAAACCACGTGTCTGCTGTTTGGTGCTGACAAGGTTTTTAGTGCTTTCTTGTCAAATCCAAGGATGTGCTTCAGCTGAAAACAATTCTGTGAGAGCAGTAGAAACAAAGTTAAGCAATAGAAATGTTGACTCGACAGCTAAACAATAAAGTTAAACTTGCTGTAAGGCCTGTAGATTGAAGCCTAGGGGAGCTGTAGTTTTAGCTGTTAATTCCTACTGACTGCATAGCTCCTATGACAGCTCGGCACCCTATAATGTCAATTAATACATTTAAAAAATGATTGGTTAGAGTAATTTTTTTCAACAAACAAGTTGGCCAAGCTATAGTTGTTGGGCAAACGGTCCCACATTTAACTCTATATTACTTTGGTATACAGAGAAGTTTGTGGTTAACTCAATGAATGTTAGGTGCCCCCAGGTCCTGTGGCTGAAGAACAAGCTCAAATGATCACTGGCACCATGCTTGACAGATGGTATGAGGTGTTTGTGTTGATAAACTGTGCTTGGTTTTTATCACACATAGCATTTTGATTATGGTGAAACTTTGGTCTCCACTTTGGTTTCATCTGTCTAAAGAACACATTTCCAGAAGTCTTGTAGTTTGTTCAGATGCAGCTTTTCAGACATAAGCTGTGCTTTTCTTATTTTTAGAGGCAAATATTGAAAGCAAGTCATACTTGTTCAGTGTTTTTCTAATTATACCATCATGAAAGTTAACATTTAACCTGATGAGGCTTGTATAGACTCTTTGTTTTATTTTAAAACAACCTGATTTTTTATTACAAATAAGTTCAATCAAAGAAGATAAAAGAGCCTAGGTTATTTATGACTGACTAAGAAATATGAACCCTGCGGTTACGGAACCACTGACCTAAAGTTTACAGTGAAAAGCTGCAGGCT